GGCTATGCACAAGTAAAGAATGCACAAGTTGTGAAGTAAGTACAGTATGATGCAATGAGTTTGCAACCTAACCATGGCTCTAGTTCTCTAAAGTTCAAGGATATGGGCAGTCAAAGAGGGTCCATGATTATGAGTCCGGATGCACCGCATGGAAACCTTACCTTTTGAAGGGCTGGCTCTGTTTTCTCGGCGCCGGTTCCTGCATGCCTCAGTAACTTTCTGTTATTTGAATTTTCCGATTTTTCATTGTGTTTTTTCGATCCTAGTTGTGAAAGATATTTTCCAAATTTCCTACGTGTAAAATTCTTATGTTTTGAAGCATTACGGATGGTCTTTCCAATGCAGACGTTTTTTATGCATATGACAATAATGTAAATAAAAATTAAACACATGAATACTTAGAACGATTCGAGTATGATCCACTCATTCTAAATTATTGCAAAAATAAATTTTAGGAAATAAAATAGAAATCCTCCCTAGTGGAGTCGCCGACAAACTATAGGGATTTTTTCCAACATCCTACACTTGAGCCCCACTTTGATCATACACTTAAGCATACTGGCTTCCAGAGAGAAGGAGGCTAAAGTACAAGAGTCGCCAACAAGTTTTAGGAACTTGTAATGCGTTCACAGGGTGAAGGTTACATCCTTTCACGATCCATGAGATCGCTAACTCCATAGTGGTATGGAACCATGACTGGATATTTTGGGATGAAGGTACAAATCCAACCTAAAAGAGATTGAACCTACCCTAAAAATAGGCCTCTACTTTATTTTTCTCATATTCATATGCATTTTCTAACTAACATACAATCAATAAATTATCCCTAAACCTATTTATCTATGTTTGTTGAACATTAATGCACAAACAAATCTATTATTGGGGATCACATAAATTATAATCATATTAGCCTAAACAAGATTATTATTTATCTTGTTAAGTGTGATTACAAGTACACATTCCCTTTAATTATACTACAACAATTTCCTTGTTTTTGCGACGCTTTTAAGGCTGATTTTGGACGCCTAAAAGCGTCAAGAATTCAGCTCTCGACACTATTAAAAAGTGTCGAAAAAAGGTGACTTGAGAATTTTGCATGTCACTTAAAAGCGTTGAGAATCTCGATGCTTTCTTGTGTCCAAATCTTTATAATAAGCGTCAAGATTTCGATTGGTTCGTGAACTTTCTCTGAGTTTGTGACGCTCTTTAGTGTCCGCGATCTTAAAATTATCGAGACCCCCTTCGAAAATTCGAAACCAGACCCTTGGTTAGGGGATGACAGCGCGGTTGCATTGGGGACAAGTGATCGACGCAACCGAGAAAGGGATGGGGGACGGGGAGGGTGCTGAGATCGAGTCGGGGGAAAGACAAAAAAGCCGAAATCGAGACAAGAATCACGACGGGGAAGGGACGAGGAGCCGGAATCGTGATGGGGAAGGGGACGGAGGCGTGTTGGTGGTTTTTGCGGCCAGAATCGCGACTGGTTTCATGAAGGAGGGAGGCGAGTTGGTGGTTTGGAGGATGGGAGCCAGGCGCCGGCGCTGGGATTGGGGGCTGGGTGGTCGGAGCCACGGGGCAGGGGAGTCAGGGGCTGTGGGGTAGGGTGGCTAGGGGCCTTGGGCTTGTGGTTGGTTTTCAATTAATTAATTTTTTTTTCTTTCTTTAAAAAAAATATCTTTTTTTAAAAAAAATTATTTTATTTTTTCCTTTTTATTTTTTAGCCAATCATAGACCGCCACGTATCATGTAACTTGTTATAACAGGTTACATGACTGGTTGGGACTATTTTGAGCGAATAGGGTATAAAGGTCGGATTATTTAAAAATATGTCAAAGGTGGGATTATTTTTCGCGGACGCCCCAAAGGTAGGATTATTTCCAACAATTTTTCCTACTGATTATATACTACATATGTTTATTACAACAAGAGTATATAATTTTTTTTATATAATTATGTAATAGAAGCTACATATAAACATAAATAATGAATTGCGAATATCAAATCATCAAATGATGTTGTGTGTTTCGTTAAATAATATATGATTAGAATTTCAATCAATTATTACTTTATGGATACTTCAATAATACTTGCCAAGAGCGACACATGTTGATTATTTTTAGTGCGTGTAATTTTTCCTTCCATTTTTGTTGATCTTCAACATTCAATTGATATGAATATAGCATATGAAAGTAAAAAAATATAATAAAAGGTTAATTTAAAAATTAATCTTTGAAAATTACCGTGCATGGCAAGGGACCTAACCTAGTTATCATAAATTCATAAACCAGATCTCATTCTTATTTTAAAAAAATGATATAATATAATATCGTCCTTTACACGAATATTCATACAAGAAAAACTAGCACAACAATGTTTCTATGAAATTAGTCATAATATTACAACTAATGTATCGGATGATAAAATTTGACAACACATTTTGAATTTTAAAATTTCATCTTAATCGATGAGTTGATTTGTTATGCATCAGAAAACTCTACTCATTTCTTCACGAAAAAACTTCAATCAATCTCCAATTTAGCGGCTCCTTAATTTGTTTTCATGGTGGGCGTAAAGCAAAGTTCATATTGTAGACTAGTGCATCACGCATATCACCTGAACATAGAGGAAACAGGGTGCATTATTAGTGAGGGTATCTAAAGCACATTACATATTGTGCATTGCACCTGAACATAAACAAACAAGGTGCATGCATTAGTTGGGGGTACTTGAAATAAGTTACATACATTTTTTTTTAACAAATACCAAATTAAATGAGACATATTGCACGTGTAAACCATAAACAATTCGTACAAGTAAATTGTTATGTTCATCAAGTCACCTAGCGAATATAAATATATATATATATATATATATATATATATATATATATATATATATATATATATATAGGACCATGTTATAATGAGAACCAATCATATAATAGGAACTGAGAACCTTTTATAACCGTAGGATTTAGGTGAAATGAACGGCGAGATCGTATCTTACATAATTCTAATTTTCCTTTCAAAAAAAAATACAATTTATCTCTCCTCCCTAAAAAGAACTTTCTCTCTCTGCCTCATTAAGTGTAATTTGTCAATGCCAAGTTACAATTTCATTGATTAATCGAAAAATCATATCTTTCGATGTTTTATCTCTTTTAATCAACTGCAATTTTGGATTTCATCTAAATTCCTAAGTACAATTTCTTCTACGACAATGAATCTCACACAAAATCTGCTATTTCAAGCTCAAAGTTAGGTATTACTCGCAATTTTAAAGTTTATATTAGTTTTAACTAAAAATTCAAAGCAATTAATTAATTCTGATTTTTTTTTTCGTTGTTAACTATCCTGTAAAATTTAGAGCTCTAGTACTAAAGAATTTTGAGTATTTTCTTGTGAGATCTTCACACCTGAATTAGTTTTATTTAATTAATTTTGGTGTTTTTGTTGCTTTTTATATTGAATATCATAGTTTAATTTTGCACGTATTTGAAAGATGATTTGTACCTATATTAGTGAAATGTAGACCTAACTGATTTATGGATTTCTAAGTTTATAAGCGATGAATAATTAATAGTATATTTTTAGTAGATTACTTATTATTATAAGTAAACGGATTTTCTTTGAAAAGAAAAATATGTGCACACCAAGTGTTTGACAAATTGCCCCACTTAATCCAATTCTATGTATTATCCCCTTCAACTTCTTCTTTAATCTACCTTCATTAATTATATAACCATGAGTTTATGTACGAGAAAGTTTCATAGTTGTTTGTGTATTTTTTAATTTGTTGTATTTTTTTAATACACTAGTTTTTGTCGAAAATCAGCTGTTAATTTTTGTGGTGTTGTTATTGAACCTTGTTTATGTTGTGTGTGTATATATATATATATATATATATAGAGAGATAATTCAAGTTTATCAGAACGAGAAACAAATGTTGTTAATCAAGGGGCGGCGTCGTCATTTCAAGTGGGAAAGTAAGGGTAATTCTGACATTTACTTATAAGAGATGAAGACAGACGTTAGCTCTTAATTTCGTTGACCGTTAAAGGAAATTTTCGTTGACCATGTAACGCTGTTACTCTGTTTACTTTCTCTCTCATCGGTAAAAATTCTTTCTCCTTAGTAAATTGGGGGGCTCTCCCTCCTAAGGATTATCACCTTCATCAACTTATGAGTTATCACCATTGGAGTGACTCGTCTTTGCACTTGTAAGAAATTGGAGTTGAGTCGTGAAATTACCAGATGACATGAGTTGATCTTTGGAGCTGTAAGAACTTGAACCTGGATAATCCCCAATTGGAGCTATTGTTGGTATGGTTTCCAATTTTAAGTTTGTTAATTAAATGTTGTTATTTTAAGTTAGGGTTTTGTAATAAATTTAATTTTTTTGATTGAATCAATTATTTGCAATTATTTGCTTCTACTTAGGGTTTCCGAATGAATGTTATTAGTTTATCCGAATCAATTTGTTACTAATGTAGGGACAATTACTCCCCCTTAATGTTATTATTTCATTCGCTTGAATCAGTTTGCTAGCAATATATAGGGACAATTACTGTTATTTTTGTCGCTAAGTGAATCAATAGTTCTTGATATCAAGGTAGTTATTGAATCAATAATTAAAACTCGTTATTGTGTTTATTTCATTTTAGTTACATCTGGCGAATATCACATAGTTGGCTAAATTTTGAGTCTGGTGTTCTTATATTCCCTAAAGTAATTGGTGTTATTAGAGGTGTGTAAAGGTTTTATGTTTATACGGTATGAAAATGTGTAGGTATATGTGTTGTTACATTCCATATTACAGCAATGGATATTGCACATTTAAAAGAAGATTGTTCCTGTGTTGATCTTGAGTTGGTATATATTCGTGACTTTTATTGAATCTAAATTAGTTAAATTAATCAGTTCATTTATATTACTATCAATGATTACTTCTCTTGGTGTAGGAACTTGGTCGTTTTACCAAAAGGAAAAAGGCATTTTGGTTTTGATCAGGTATGTTGTATATTCACCCAGTAAGTATGTATAGTTGGGAATGAGCATTTACTTAAAATGAAATTGTATGTGAAAAAGGCTGGTAGCGTCAGGTGTGGGAAGATTGGACAATTTCATCCAGAGATGTTTAAGGTACCTGTAAGGTACCTGTGATTTATTAGGTTGATTTGTTGCGTAGTTGTCTACCTGTAGTGAATCATGGTCACCTTCTACTTGTTCATAGGATAACTTCCACACTGTTGGAGGGGCATTAAAAGGCAAGGGGGAAGTTTTTAAACAATTTGCTCGTGCTAGCTCTAAGGTTTGTTTGCTACTTTGTTAATTAATGCATCATATGTATGTGCCATTGTTTCTTTTGGTCATTGGGGGGTTGTAATATATGACCCGTTTGATGATGCTCCCCAGGCACCTAACTTGACATGCCGTATAGAGTAATTTGGTAGAATTTGTCAAAAGTTTGATGGAAGGCGTTAGAGGTGGGTAACAGAAATGGGATTTGGTGGTTTACTGCATCTTGCCTCGTCCGGCATGCAATTACCCAGGCAATTGGCATATTGGTTGTTGACTCGTGTTGATCCAGTTAGTAAAATTTTGATATCTCCAGATGGTAAGGAATTTAGTCTGTCTCCTAATCAAGTGTATTGGGTTTTGGGAATTCCTAATGGTGGGAAGACAGTCCCTACAAAGAAGAATATGACATCAAAATTAAAATATAAGGTTGAAGCAATATTGAATAAGTATTGGCAGTCGTGGGAAACTACGTGTAATGGTTATGAGGGTAAGGTTTATACTAGTAAGGGTATATCTGTGAATCCTAGGCTGATGGAAAGATTAGATGGTGAGTGGATGGAGTGGGAGGAAGTTGAATTCAAGACTCTATTTCTATTATTGTCCCTCCACATGGTATTATGTGCAACCCACTCACCTAAACTTTCAGCCGATCTTGTTCCTGCGTTGACATGTGCACATGATTGCATGGATTATGATTGGTGTGGGTTGGTGGTGTCGAAGTTACTAGGAAGTGTATCATCCTTTGCGCGTAAGTTTTATGCTAATGGTTATGTTGGAGGATCTGGAGGCTGCTTGTTATTCATTGTGGTAAGATATTACTTCTGGTTAGTTATTAGCATAATTTGTCATATATTGCTTGATTTGTATTGTGTATTAATAGTCTTAAGATTTGAACAGATTATGTACTTGGACAGGCTGAATAGGGTGCCGCTAAGATGGGGTGTATTTCGCAGGATCAAAGTCTGGAATATGAAGGAAATTGGGTCAGTTTCAAGGCTTGATCGTCACTCCATTGATGGTGACTTTGGTAAAATGGGGGTGAGTGTAGCCCTGAAGCATGTTTTGTTAGGGGTTTTTAAAGGATTTTTATGCTCTTACATAAGTATGCTTATTATGTACATATTTCAGATGATTGATGTTGCATATGCAGAGAGTCATCCTAAGGAGGCTAGGGATAGCAATGGACCAAGTTTGATTCAGGTTTGTGAAACAATACTATTATAATTGATTCAGAAGTTAAGAGTAGTCAGGTATACTTGTTAATAAATGCTATCCTTCTTGGAATGTACAGCCTAACGAGGAGGTGATCCCATACATATTCAAACCTCCTAAGGCAAGGAGGATTAGATGTGCGACAAATCCTTGTTTTGTCCGGAATCCGTTACCTGATGAATCTGTTCTGTACATGGAGGTTAGCATGTGTAATAGTAATAAGCATTCATGTGCTCCTATAGTTTATTGGTGTTGGTGCTCATATTATATTTCGTGGTGCACCAGGTAGGTGAAATGATATGCAATGTTCAACAAGAAGAGCAAACCGATTGTGTCGACCTAGTTGTTGGAACACCAGGGATATGAGCGACAAAAGACCAAGGCATATGATTAACAGTTTAGTAGTTGTAAAGCTCAAATTTGTTAAGTGAGTTCATTCTTTATACTGTACTAATAGCATTTAGATTGTATCATTGTAACATTACACAGGAATAATCAATTACAAGATACACAATGTAATAATACTATTAATGTCATGATTGTTGTTAAGAAGTAGCACAATAATAGCTGGTAATATGTTTTCATCAAAGTTAAGTTGTACATGACAACAATACAAACCAAGAACATAACCTAGTTATTAGAACATATTAGCCATGGGCTAAAAAACATTGTTGATACACATCCATTGTAACAACCTAGCACTCCATGCCGCAATATCCTCGAGATAGCGCCCCTTATTTACGAAATCACGACCATTCATCATTATTTACATCCCTGGCCCCTACAACAAGTGCACAAACGTGGTTATTGTAATGAGTAAGCTTATTATTGTCTAATTAACAAGCAAGAGCGGTTAGAGTATTTTGGGCTTGTATCTGAATGAGACCCAGGACACCCTTGGTTGTTGTTCTGATTGGTAAGAAGGACAAGTAGGTTGACATCCGGAGTATGATAATTCCACCAGAGATGCCGTTGGGGTTCACCATCAACCACCCATTATATGGGAGTGCACACACGATCTTCTCAGTGTCCGCCCTACACACTCGGTGTTCTGAAATAACCACCATGTGTGGACAGTGTTGGTTGATCAAGGCCCAGAGGTGCCTTCTGAAAGAGGCCCTTGCAATCCCTCTTGCATTCCAGTACAGTATGATAGTGTTTAGGATTGTTGGTAATATGTCTCTCTACATCTGCAGATCCATCCCAGTGTATGTTGAATTGAATTTGCCTTTCTCTTTGAACAGTGTTGAACAAGAACACAGCGTTTGACCAGCTCCTTGTATCCATTGTCGTTGCAACATACTGCACATGAATCATTTCAATTACACGTGGAAGAACTAGAGGAGGATCAAGAATGTAGGTGAATTCAGGCGGGATTACATCCCTAGAATCGTCTTGATTCAGTTTAGTCATCAACCAGAAAAACAACCTTTTGACTGGCTTACTAAGGAAAACCAGATCAGAAATATTAGGGAGGTGGGTTGGGTGTAGATCTCCAGCGTTCGACAGCATTTGCATTTCTTTCCACTCATCAGGTACCTCCCCAGGGTTGCAAATAATTCGACGGAGTACGTGTCCAGGAACTATGTTGACATCTTAATTAATCCTGCTACTGGCCAAGAAACAAAATTCCTACCGGGTGTAACTCATGAAGATGATGTGCGACCTTACTTTGTGGACCTTAATTGTAGTGGGCCTTTTGGGCCTTAAAAGACCAGCTTTGGGTTGTAGCTGTGGTTGCGTTGCCTTAAGTGTAGTGGGCCTAAACGTACAGGATACTACATCAACAAATGCAAGACCAGCTTAATTGTAGTGTTCCTTGCCTTTTGGGCCTTAAAAGACCAGCTATTTTTAATTCGATGTTTTTAGGTAACCCTACTTTGGGAACCTTAGTTGCAGTGGGCCTAAACTTACAGGAAAGACGATTATCATAAACTTGAACAATAACAAAAGCTAATAGTAAATGGCATTGAATTATATGCCAAAATACAATATACTTATGCCAATTGGGTAAGTAAAAATGCAAAATATCAATTGGCATATATCAAACTATATATTTAACAATAACAGCTAATAGTGAATAACATTAGATTAACACAACTTGTTATAATGTTCCAAACATTCATCAGCTAGTTCTCTTCGCGGCTCTGGATTGTGTGTCTATTATCCCGGAAAATCAGGAACACCCCTCCAATCACTTCTAACTGTGAACGGCCCACAGAGCGGTAGAAGTTGACATTATTACAAATGAAGCGACACATTTGCACAGAATATCTGGTCTCTGTTAATACAAACAAGTCGGGTATGTGTAGATCATACAAGTGCTTGAATTGAGGGAGAAATGAGTTCCTCCCCATATCCCTACAATTCCAAACCATGATCCTCATCCCAACGTCTTTACTGGAGGAATTATCTATGCTGAATTGTAGTTTCACTTTTCGGCCATCCAACACATTTCCGGATAACCAACTCCAGCTAGCAGACAGTTTAAATGTTTGTGTGCCGGTAGTTCTAAAAACCTTCAAGTCGTCGGAGTAGCCGTTGATCTCCAATGATGTGTTCCCACCTGAAGGGAGCACGATTCCATTACAGTCGGCAGTATTGATTTTGGGTCAACTATATTTTCGACGCACTTTGGGATAGCATGTTCTACCCCAATTCCATCTGCACCGCCGTATTGGATGATAATCCTTTGTATATCTATCTTCAGAGGTACAGGTAATAGTGCCAAATCTGATAGATCTGGAAGGTGAGCTTGGACAATTGAATTCTTTTTAAGAAGCAATATGTCACCAGCGGGTCGTCGTCCATGGGCAATCCAATCAGCAACGGTCGCAAGTGTGTCTAATTGAAGGTTGAGTTTCTGTTGTCCAATGCTTGATACGGACTGTATAACAACCAATATCCCTTTACCGACCTGTAGGTATCCTCCTACAGGTCGAGGAGGCTTGAATTTGACGGGAAGAGAAGTTGTTTCTACAACAGTCTCTAGAACCAACCTGTTTTTGTCAACAACAAATATTTGTTTACATCCATGGTTGATCCAAACCTCTCCCTTGCCTTCTTTTTAAGTCCCTTGCATGTATTTGGAGGCTTTTAGTTTCATCTACAAGTATTTCGACTGGGGTTATCATTGGAGTGTATAGCCTGAATATAATTTTTTTAGAGTATGTTTGTTTGTAGTTATGTGTTGCTTGTATATAATAGAATTTTTATATACGCGGGAATGACCAACGGAAAAGTGTACATGTAGTAAAATGGCGCATCTTTTACGCGCCCATATTTTGACCCCATTAGTAATATGGCGCAACTGTTACGCGCCCAAATTTTAACCCTTTACACCAAATTTCATCTTTTTATTATGCGATTGGGCCACACTCTAATTCAAGTGGTGGCCCAACATATATAACAAATTATGAGATTGGGCCACATTCTAATTCTAGTGGTGGCCCAATATATATAACAAATTATGCGATTGGGCCACAGTCTAATTCAAGTGGTGGCCCAACATATATAACAAATTATGCGATTGGGCCACAGTAAATAAGGCTGGAATCAGGCCACATGTTATAGTAGGCCTTACCAATGAGAATACTTTAATAGAGCGTAAGCAAAATATAATGGGCCTTAAACTTGATTAAATTGTGAATATAATGGACCTTAAAAACAATTGTGTGATTACTGCACGAATGAACGAAGATTAAAACACACAATGGTTGAGATCATTCCCCTAAAACACTCACTAAGGCACAGTTCGATACACACAACTGTAGATGGTAAATTGAATTGAAATTAGATAAATTAAGCATTTTGATTGATAAATTATTACTCAGAGACCTCCCTGCAGTAGGTCTTCCCTTCTAATGTCATTTAATCGCTTGCTTGGCTACAACCAAATGAAAAATTGTTCAATTGACTTATATTTACTTGAATGAATCAATAAGTTGTGAGGATACTTACTACGATGTTTGCTGACATAACCTCTCCGTAAAGGGTATTCTTCCTACAAGAGAAGTATAGAGAAGCTCCTTTTTCCCAGAAACACATTACTCCTCCTAACCCACAATTTGGGCCAACTACCTCCATTCCGAAGTTTCCCTTTAGCTCACTTTGTATGAATTTTAGCATTGGCTTCCAAACCCTAGCCTCAGTGACAATAACGAGGAGTGGCGAGTATGAGTCCTGAATGATTCTGAAATTTTCTGCAAAAGAGGGCCTGTGAACATCCCTAGCATTTCAAATGACAACTTTGCTTCCCTTACTGAATGTAGATTAGCATGAAAACTTATTAGTTGTTTCTGATTGTATTGTTGTTCTGAAGTACCTATGCCCCCTACGATTAGTTTTACAACACCAGATTTTAAAGCTAATTTGGGATATTAACTGAGTCACCACCATAACGTGGACACCAGCATGATAAGCCCCCATGAAGATCTCACGAGGTGCGGTGGGTAGAGCGTAATCGATGATATGATCCGGGTTTACCTCAAATCACAGATCGAATATGGGAATCACTTATTTTGGAATGATTTGCGGCTGAAAAGGACATTTTTGTAGGCACAACCATTTAATAAAGTGTCTAACCCCTTTATGTAAGTATCCGTCTAAGTCTGATAGCAGGGGAATGTAAGCAGGCCTGTATTTCCCCTCAAACTTCATCATCCGGAATGGACTACCGTACGGGGTGTCATTCTGGTCGTTCATCCGCAACTCCTTTTTGAGGGTTTGTACATGGATCTTATTTAAATCACTGTATTCAAATTTGGTTGTGGTAGTAATCGGTGCCATTCACATCGATTTTGGGTTTGGTAGATGGATTGAAATAATTGAAATATATTACAAGATTTTTGGGATGGAATGTAATTCCCCTGTCCTGGACGTGATCTCAGATAAAGAAAGATGAGAAACAATGGATTTGCTCTTGGAGTTTAACATGTTTAGCTTGAAGCATTGTGGTGACTGGAATGAAAATGGTCAAACGTTGTATTTATTTCATTTACTCTCTCAAGTCTTGACGAAGTACTGCGTATGCCGTTGGATTTTTGTTTATTTAATATTTTACTTATTTTTTTAATAAATCTAGCGTGTTTGAAATTTGAATTATGTAAATATCTCTTCAAATAATGATATAAAAATACTACAGCTCTCAAGCCTATCACTTTATAATTGATGGGACTACTCAATGCGTAGCCTTATGTACTCAGGTATTCATTACTAGCTGTTGCTTGTGGCATGGATAGAAAAGGTAGAATAAGGCTGCATGAGTGAACGAACGGCTCTCTAATTTGCGTGTAATTAGAGTATTAGACCATAGGCATATTTGCTCTATACGACACTAGATTGTGTGTGTGTAACAAATATAAATACATATTTTCATTGGTGTACAAAATTGAATAGCAAGTTTTGTCATCAAATTCACATTTTCAAGGTACCCGTTGAAGACTGAAGAGGTCTCAATTTGTACAATCGGCGTTTTAGTAATCGTTATTTCATTATTTCCTTTACATTGTTACACCTAAGTCATATAAATTTGTTATGTCCACGAGATTCC